AACGTAACGTTAACGTACGTTTACGTTTACGTTTTACGTTTTTACGTTTTCGTTTACGTAGTAGTAGTACGTAGTAGTAGTAGTAGTAGTAGTAGTAGAGAGAGAGAGAGAGAGAGAGAGAGAGAGAGGCAACTGAAAATGGCATCTATAAGAGTAATTAGTGAGAACCAAAAAAAGAGCAAAACAAGAACTATATTACCCCCCAGCTCCCTTCAAAGGGTCATTTTCTTTTTTAATCGACTATGTTGACATTGGCTGTTCTATGGAGCAGATTAATTCATGACCTGATATGGCACATATTTAGGATCATCTTGACAAGCCATCAAAACCAACTAAAGATATAGCAGGGAAGTCCTGCGTGCTTCCTGCCGATTCACTCTGAAATGAAAAATCACCTCTATCCGATGAGCTCTTGTTGAGCGGATCATGATGAAAGGGGTCATCTGCACCATGAACTGCACTTAGCCTTGGAGAGTAATCCCACCCAATCGAACATTCCATAAGATCATTCCTTTCTGCTTGGCTTTTGGTCTCCTCTTTGAACTTGAAGAAGAATGTTGATGACCAATAATCTCTCTCTAAGTTCTTCAAGAAGAAAACGAAATGTTAAGAGCAAAAATCCTACATAGGATATCAAATTTCACTTATCATTGTTTCATTTTGCTACTATCCTTTTAAGACTAAATAAATGAGCCAAGATAGAGTACCATTTTTATAAGCTGCATCAACTCGCTGATAGCATGGTTAAAGAGATCGGGATGAGCTAGATCGGTTGTACCCAGGATTTCCTGACGGGTCTTGTGAGATATGTTAACCTCCATAGCGGAACCTACACAAAACAATGATCTGAAGTGCGAAACAGGTATCTGGATGTTTAAATTTAGTAAAAATCCAAAACTGAGGGCAACAAGAAACAATTCAAATGCAAGTTCAAAGTCCTAGTTTTAGAACGTTTTTTATTTTTACAGTCAACACAAACTGAGAACAGTGTGTGTATGTGTCCCGAGTTTCCATGAGAGAGCCAGAGGATCCATATGTAATAGCAACATCCACGCCATGGCCAATGTGTGTGTGTGTGAGAGAGAGAGAGAGAGAGAGAGAGAGAGAGAGACTTTGTTGCTTCCCCTTCCATTAAACATGACACTTTCAAAGATTAACTAGTTCTTGTGATCAATTGATTACAATTACGATACCCAATAACAGCATGGCATTTAAGTGATCATCAATCTTATTTTTGAAGGAAATCATTTATCATGTTTGAAAAATACAAATTACTGTGATCATAAAGAAGAAAGTACTAAGGAAAAGGGATTAAGGAAAATAACCTAAATCCATTTTAACTTACCATTAACTATGTAGTGTTCAATAATATGCCGTGCCATGTAGATCCTTGTGATAGTATCCCCAACAGGTATCTTACCAAGTTCATGCACCTCGTCATAGAAATGAATGCTTTCCCCAGCCATACAACTGTCATATTAATCAATCATACATAAATTTCACAATCCAAATGATAGTACCATGAGTTGAATCAATTCACTGTAGTAATACAGAAAAATGGAGAAGTATAAGATTCACCATAGCCACGTTCAAAGCAAATAAATGGATTGATATATAATGCTAGTGAATTAAATAATTGAGGTATCAGACCAACCTGTCAGCAAATGCCATAAAAGAGTTCCGGAATCTTTTATTCATGAGAAGTCTATCAATGGGTTCTTTCAAATCTATGTCCATTGTTGTTCCTGTTGGTAAGAGTAGTCCACTAGCTGGTATTCCCAAAGCCCTACCCATGATCCCAAAGTCTTGTGGCTCCTTTTTTCTCAAGCTCATTTGGGATAGAAGAGGTTGAGATATTGACAAAGAGAAGAAAGCAAGAACCATAATGCTTGCCTATATAGATAAAAGCAACAGTAACAACCATATATGTAAATTTTAGGAAGTAACAGAACTAGAAACAGGATTTGAATTTACAACACACACCACATAAAAGTCTCCAAATTCCGAGACATTGGAAAATCAGACTCAAACCAAACTCACTCAGTCCAATAACAAATGAACAATAAAAAAATAGAAAAAAATGTTATAGAAAGAAAATATAGTTTAATCATAAAAAGATAAAATAAACATGGCCTCGCACATGCATCTTACATGTTGCACTCAAGAATGTAATAGACAACATGTCTTCACACGGCATAGTATTAAAAGAGAACTACAGAAAATATTCAGTATTGTATTTGCAAAAGCAGTGGATTGAAACTGGGAAAAGTATCCAGGGAGGTTACAACCAGTCCTGTCCCTCAGATGTCAAATTCGGTGGTTGTAAGAGTGTCATTGACTAGACTCAAAGTTAAGAGGGAAAAAACAAAGCTTCTCAAACTTTGTGACTCACCCCAAGCCATGCAATTTGACATCTAATGACTAAGAGTAATTGTGACCTTAGAACGAAGATAAATGATCCCATAGTATTACAATCCCTTAACGTTGAAAATAGTATCATCATTTTCAGTTTCTGAGCTTTGAATATTCACTTTATAGGTAGGTCAGTAGTGGGACTAGAACGTAGGACATAGTTTTGCAATTGTCAACACCATAACCCTTCAGCCTAGAGCCCAAATCCTTTATTTTCAGAAATGAGTATAAACAACGTACTTAGGCTCAACATGCTTGGTTTACTTAGGACTAACAGAACCAATAGCTTGACTTCTGCCCCAGTCAATCTAGTTTCATCATTAACTACATAATAACTTGATCCAGCTTAAAATCAGTGGTACAGAAAAAATTCACCAGCTAATAGTCCAATTATGGGTACATTAATATTCCAATGGAGATCTTAATATGATTATTCCCAATTAGAGACCTTATAGACTGGGTGAAGTGAAACCATACCATCAATAGCATTAAGAATCTGGAGCTAATTTGAAGCCATGGAATACCTTCATGAAGCTCATTAGCAATGTAAGCAGCAGTCCAAATTCCTGCCACATAGAGAAAGGCATTATGTGACACCCATGTAAATAAAAGAACTACAAAAGAGTTGTCACTTCATGATTTAAATTTTGCAAGCAATTTCAATCAATTAAACCATAGATAGAATCATTAGAAAAAGGAAATCTATCTAGTAGTCCCGAATTTAAAATCTGAAACCTCACAAGAGCGGTGCTCCAGGTGCCTAGATCTGCAGTTTGGTAGTGGATGAACTAAGGTCAATGCTGTGTTGAAACAATTAAGGTGTAAGAATATGAGCAAAGATGTGGCCCACACACAAATACATGGAAATAAGTGTTGCACTCAGCAACTAACAACACAAATCTAGCATTAAAAAAATAGTATCCTAAATTAATCAGATTCTTTCACATATTGGTACTGTAAAAAATTTAAAAGAATGAAACAAATCTTGGTATTACAAGAGAAAATTTAAAGGAAATTATACCAAATCCATATAAAAAAAAATACACACTACCCTCTCCACAAATGGCAAACTACCCTCTGTAAGACAAAGAGACATATAAAAAACAATAAGACAAATGCATAGAGATCTCTATGTAGAATTAGTAAATATGAGACTGTGAATGGAATTCTGGTAGCATGAAAGAAGAAAAAATATGAAAATCTCACCTACAGCTGTGGAAGATACAATGATTCCCCGCAAGAGAGCTCTAAATTCATGAAACCTGAACTCAACATGCCGAACAGCCCAGGTAAAGCCCACCATTGCAGAAACATATAACACATGAAGCAACCCTATAGGTATTACCCAACGACTATGCATATGGCATCGTGGATTGAGAGGTCTCTTTTGATGAATAACTGCATGATGGTAACAGGAGAAAGTCAGCCATTTCATTGGATTGGATGCAGCAAACAGGTATAAGCTATTATTGAGAGGAAAATGATACTCAAGATTTCTTTCCATGAATATGTACACATTAGAGTCAATAAATTGTTGGCTTAAGTAGCCAGGCAATAAATCAGAATTGTTTTTTATTTTTAACTGAATTTCACTAATATCAGAAATAATTTATCATCATCATCATTATCATAGCCTTTTCCCAATTAATTGGGGTCGGCCACATGAATCATGATCCGCCATCTGCTCTATTAAAGGCCATACCTTCAGTGAAGCCAAAAGTCCCCATATCTTTTCAGACAGCTTGCAACCACGTTCTTTTGGGCCTACCCCTTGCCCTTTTAAATCCTTCCACTTGAACTAACCTGCACCTCCTAATAGGTGTCGTACTAGGTCGGCGCCACACGTGGCCAGCCCACCTAAGTCTACTCTCTCTCATCTTATTGCCTATTGGTGTCACACCTAACTTTTCCTGAATGAATTCATTTCGAATTCTATCCCTTCTTGTCTTGCCACTCATCAATCTCAACATCCTCATCTCTGCTACACTTAATCTATGGGTATATCAGAAATGATTCAGAAGCGTATTTCTCTTTATCTTAACAAAAGAGAGCCTCTGTACAATAATAACTTCAAACACTAATCACTAAACCAAATTAGCGCCAATTCTGCCTTAAAAACCTTTTCTTTTGCCAGAGAATCTGCCTCTCCATTGGCTTCTCACCATATGTCTCCACAGATAAGACATATGCCCACTTCCCCATTCTTTGACATTAATGGAGTCTCCTATACTATCGTTCATCATCATCATCATCACGACGCTACAGATTTTACAGTTGCACCAACCATTTCACAGAGAGAGAGAGAGAGAGAGAGAGAGAGAGAGAGAGGTAGGTTAGGTAGG